TCGCTCACATTCCTTCCACCAGTTAGATTAACATTTTCCAATTGTCGGATTCGTCTATCAATCCTCGAACCATCTTGTAATTGTGATGGATTCTTAATGTTGGGAAGCTCATTCCTGATCTGATCATAGTATTGATCAGATAATTCTCTCAATTTTTCAACTCTAAACTGTTGCAGACTCGCTTTCTGGGTTAAATTCAATACGCTATCGGTTCTTATTCTACGATCCCAATATTCACTATCTTCCAAATTTGCTATGGATGTGTCGTTCCTTATTCCATTTCTTATTGATGTAAAAGCATCAAGATCAGTAACGGAATTCTCCAACTCTTTTATCTTTGCCTCACGTAATTCATTAAGTTCACTCTTATCTTCCAGTGTGAAATTTGAATTATTTATTGCATTTTTCCAGTAATTTCTTAATCTGTCTAAATCTTTTTCTTCGGAAATTTCAGTGTAAACCTTTTCATACTCTCGTCTATAAGCCAACCGATTCAATCGAATATTCTGCAACTCATCTTTTAATTTCCTATTCAACAAAAGATCAGCTATTATATCGATATCCCAATCACCACCATTTTGTAACTTTGAAATAGATGTTTCTTCGCTAATATCCTTAGCCAAACTATTAAACCTTGACAACATCGCATACTGATTTCGTCTCAAAGCTTGCAACACATTTTGCTTCTCAATTGGTAAACTCGAAGTACCGATTGCCTTATCAATCGGTCCACTATCCATTAAATTAGAAATATCATATTCATTGATAATCACATTTTTTAAATTGTCAAAGGTTTCATCACCATCAGTCACAGGAGGCTTAACCGTCGAACCTAACTGCTGTGCTACAGTGAACAAACCTAACAAGAACGAGTCCTCAAACTGTTCCTCAACAGTAAGTTCTCTCAATCTTTTTACATCATCAACACCACGAGGCGAACATTCGTGAAATCTTTTCTGTGGAGTGGCTTTACAACGAATATTTACACGACTCATTTTTTACAATTATTATCAGATTTAAAGAAAGAAACAAAGATGTGTATTTATATATTTATTCAAATTAAGATAAATAAATGATAAATAAATAATTAATCTATCCTGTATCCATCCCATCTTTTTTATCACAACATTTCTGAATCATATCCATGATATTTTGAATTCCACCTGCACTTGTATAATCCAATTTCCACCCAGCTTTAATTTCTCCACCGCTCATCCACGCCCCAATTCCCGATGTACCCAGAGCAACATCAAATTTCTCACCAAACAACAATCGAGCATTTCCAGTTGTATTACATAATCTCATCTTATACATCCAATCCATGTAATCTATCACGACAGCCACCACAAAATTACCTTGAGCATACACTATCTGCTCTCCTTCTTTCTGCGAATCGACGCAAGTTTTATGATTACCAAGATCAGCACAAATCACAACATCCTTATCAACATATAAACACCTTGAATCACATTCAAACACCACCTTTTCTTCGGCCCACACCTTGAAATATTCACGAAATTGAATCCTATCTCCTAATTCAAATATATTATCAACTATATCCTCTAGTTCTAAAAGATTAGAATTTTTCGCTTTTTCTTTATCACAAATCTCCAAAAGAAAAACCCTTATCGTCATCGGAGCATCTAATCCAATAATAGGAGTGGTACCAGTCTTAGTTGGTAGATTAAACTCCCTAGCCCCGAAAAAGACAGTAAACTTAAAATGTATCGAAATATCGGTCATCACCAACGTATTCTGCGCTTTAGAAACTTGATATAACGGATAAAGAAATAATCTTTTCCAAAGCGTGTCATAATAAAAACATCGCTTTTCCTCATCTCTAACAATACCGAATCTATAATCATCAACCATCTCGCCGAACAATTTTTTTTTACCACAAATATCTTTTTTTCCTACATCTCCTCCACAATAAGCGACTCGACAAAAGGGAGAACCAGAAGTTTTTTTTCTAACAGAACATGAACCATCAGCACAACTTGAAGAGCTAATAGCCCTTGTTTTCTTTTTCTTCACAGCTGGCATCTATCTTTTCTTTCCACAACCTGAACAATAAGGTCCGGGTCCGCTGAATAATCTAACAGTTTTTCTCTTAACAGGAGGTTGTCTATGTTTTACCAAACTTTTCAAAGTCGATTTTTTTTTTAACTTTTTCGGTTTTCTCTTTGGAATCGGTGCCAGTTTTAACTAATTAAGTATGAATTAATCGTTCTTAAACCCTCGGAAATTATCAACCTGATAGTTGATATGACTTGTAAAAATCCAGTTTTCAATAAAATAAGATATGAAAAATCAGATTTTAAGATATTGAACAATAAAATTGATAAGATTATTATTAACAATGTAAGAAAAATGATTAACAAGGCACTTATGACCACGTCTAATTTAAGCTTTGCCCTATAAGTCTTTTCACAATCATCA